ATATATATATATATATATATATATATATATATATATATATATATATATATATATATACTTTACCTATGATGAAAATTTGATTTTCAAATGTGAATGTATTGGATACAGAGGTTTCAATTTGTATATCCTTTGCCTTTACGCTATCGTTTTGACCGCTCCTTCAGTCAGTTGTGACTACAACACCGACATCAGTCATCACCTCCAGGTTGTATGTGCTCAAAAGAGATGAAAAATATGTGCACTACCGTTTATCATATTGAACCATTTCATCTAGTGTTTTCAACCGTTGGTTAGGTTGATCACGTGGTCGCTAGCCATCAAGCTGCGCGTACCCTATATGTTCAGGTTAGGTGATTAGTCTTCATGCTCTAACCAGGTCATAGTTTGATTGTTGAGGGAGTTTCTCCGATAGAGTGCCCCAACCTCGGCAATCTGTCGTGGTTAAGCTCTTGCTTTAGTGACTGTCTGCGACATTCTAGGATTCTTCCCCAAATCTTAGCATTGAGGGGGAGGGGGATTCTCTCGTAGATTCCATTGATCGAATGCGTAACCTTTGGTCCCAAGGGTACATTTCGTCATCCTGGAGCGAATCACTGATCCTTTCGATTTTTAAGAAGGGCTGTCACAACGACTGCGCAAACCACCGCGGGATAACTTTGATTCCAATCGTCACCAAAGCATTAGCCTCCGTCATACTTCAACGTCTGATACCGTTTAGGGAGACAAATATCCGCTAACAGCAAGCAGTATTTCGACCTGGTCGCGGTTGTATCGATCAAATCTTCACGTTGCGTCAAGTCCTCGAGTTACACCATACACACCGTCGACCAATCGTTGTCGAATGCCTTGACATAAAAGGAGTCTTCGACTCAGTTGACCGTGAATCCCTAATGAGTTCGGTCCTTGACAAAGGAATGCCGCAAAAGTATGTGAACATGAGTTCACTCTACTCATACTTTTGGTAACGTAAGGGTCTACGGTAAATTGGGTAGGTCGTTCGTAACTAGCAACGGCTTTCTTCAAGGATAACTTATGTCCCCACTGCTGTTCAGTTTCGACATAGACGAAATACTGGAGAACACTAAGTGGTCTCCAAAATGTTGGCATTGAATAAGCAGCTGGAGTAAAGCTATGCGATTTAGAGTACGCTCAAGACATCGTTTGTCTGTTCGAATATATGGAAGATGCACAAAGATCACTAACGGATTAGCAAGTTCCGTTGCTCCGTTCGGCATGCGCTTTGCACTTTCAAAGTGCAAAGTGATGCTTCAAGACTGGGTGTCGCCGAAGTCGCAGAAGTTGACTGCTCCTCGTACTTGGGTACTTGCGTGACCAACGATGGTAGCGCATCAAAGGAGATAACCATCCGATTTTCCAAGACTCAAGCAGTGTACACAGGACTGTGGTGAGGACAACGTTTTACTGAAGTTGAAAAGTCAAATCTACGGCGCCACTGTACGATCAGTTCTGCTTCACGCTTGTGAGACTTCGAATTTGCTGGTAAAAGACACCCGTCGCCTATCACAAACTCCCACTAACCTCGTATGCATTATGAGTTTGGTAGCGATCAGTAAAGTTCGCTTCAATGAATTACGCTATACGGTGATGATTATGAAGGGTTTCTGTTTGTCAAACGTGAATTGGGCCTCCTGTATGCATGCCATAACCAGAAGAGCGTCAGTTGCCTGAGGAGTGAAAGTTGGCAACCTCTGTTATCGATCTAGCTACCATGAGTTCGACAATTTGATCACCCCCCCTCCCAATCATGCAAAGTAATTTGATATTTTAATAGTGTAAAGCATATGCTGGGTGCATCATCCAGAAAAACTAATAGCCTATTCTGGTCTCCAATCGACGATACATCTCTTTATTTCAGATCTGTCAGCATGCCTTTTCTAAGAATATCGACAACGTAACTCTAGCACAGGGAGAGCGATTTCCAGAATCACATTCACTGTAGAGTCTTAGAAAAGACGAAAATGACAATCTTGGAGAATGTCGCATTCGATGGTAAATTCGGACGAAAAAACGCCATAAGCATGTAGAAGTCTTCGCAAAAATAGATCGTCTCTGTCACACCCGTCAATGTGAGGTTACGCTTTGGTGCATTTCATTAATTAAATCCACCGAAGTTGTCAAGAGCAGTAGTCACCTAACATTTCTCCCAACTTGGAATATGACTGGAAATTAGACCAACAATCCTGTGAATGCGTTCTGCACGCGTGTTGGAACACGCTTTTTGGTGTGTGTTGTTCACTGAAACTAAAAGGACTCTTGTTTACAATGGTAATTTCTACACATCACCTCAGGATTGTTTTGAATGCCATTTTCATAACCAGTCACTGGATTCTGCATCTGTCCGTGACGAAAAGATAGCATTCCTGCGAAATTGAGAACTAAGCCATTTTAGATTAAATTGTCGCTATTCCGTTTCCTCACATTAAATACCCTGAATTCACATTTTTCCGCCAATAACTATTTTCCGTTTTGTTTTTTTAGAAAACTTCAAAATTTGGACGGCAAGTCCTATGAAGCTTATCTGGAGTCCACTCCACAGTTTCGCAATCCTGATGGTCTTCAGGTACTTTGTGCACGTATGGGAATTCCTCGTTCTTCCGCATGCAGTCTGCTGTTTTCTGTCAATCGGTACGTGATTTGTTTTTAGAATTTTTTAATAATGTGTCTTCAGTATCAACTGATAATGGAGTCATAGAGTAACTAATCAAAAACTCATTTTCTTCTTACACAACATTTTTTGGGGATAGTTTGTGAGATGGTTTTACCCCGCACATACTGTCGTTGATGAAATCACTACAGAACAAAAGCCCATATACGATACTGGTAGGCCCTGTTCACAGGTGCACGAATGCCTGTATCCAGCGTTTGTTTCCATAGATCATATCAGTTCAGTTCAGTCTGTCTGTTCCGTAATCTTGCACTTGCGCCTGGTGGTTTGAACCGCTGTGTTTCGGCTTCTCAATTAAGTGGAGAAGCAGAAAGCTGGCTTCGGTGTAGATNCTGACGATTGTGAATCCAAGCATATATATATATCGTAATAAGTAGTGTGTGAATAACTGGATAAAATTTTCCTGGAAATATGAAATTTTCTACCAAGACCATCAGGTCACGTTTGTTGCAGTTAGTAGCATCGAATCATGGCATTGATTCTTCATTGGACTGGCTCTGAAAGAGCCGTCTATCCAATGGTTACTCAGTGTTGCAAACAAGGTTATTGTGATGAAAATGCACTCCCTGGGTACAAGTATATGAATAAACTGACAAAAGATTACCGTATAAGCATGCCTGACGAGCGACAAGAACCGCGAAACCGGTCGTGTGCTTCCAGGGATATGTTGTCCAGTCATTCATATACTACTTATTATCAAATATGTATATATAGCAGTGGTCGATATTGATACACTAAAACATTTTCTTTTTGATGAAATGGAGTTTCATCATATTTATCACCTGTAATAATGCTTTGGGTATGGACAATAATTTATATCTTTTCTACTTCGATCTGCGTAGTTTCCAGGTTGCATAAGTGTCAGTTTAACTTGCCCGACCTTAAATGCCAAGATTTATTGATCTCAACATAAAGACCACAAACTTTATCAAGTATAACAACGCAATATTTTCTAATAGGAATGACTCAGGAATTATCCTCAATTATTTCCATAAACCCTTGCTATCTCGGTTATTTGTTTTGAGACATTATTTTGTCGAATATATAATCAATTATAGCAATTCTATTGGATAACCAAATGAAATTCGTTCATAACCCAGATAAATTGGATTAATTAAGGTTTCATAGTAATAGTCTATGTTTGATAACTTACTGAATTCGAGAAATACCACTTCAATCAAAGTCAACCTTGAAGAAAGGTCATTTTTGTGCACAACTTTGAATGTTCGTATTGTTGTCACTTTAATGAAGCACGCAGCGCTCGAGAACGAAAGTTTTTTCGTTTTCTCAGTGAGGAGAACAGAAACGGAATGGCACGAGCACACAAGCTGTGATTTTCGATATCAAACCTTGCCCAATGCTTTAATGTTAACAAAAGCAGAATATACAAGAAAATCCATGGGAAAACAATAACCATAACAGCTTCTGGGGACTGTAAACCGAGTATCCAAACACGAGGACGACCCAATTCGTATTACTCTGAAAAAACATCGCAGAAAATCATCATCTATCCAACGGGAAGATCTTCCCGGCTATTCATACTCTGTTCTGCAAAGAATGAAAAAAATTAACATGCGTCAGGTTTCAGCTGCCGTCGAGCCATCATTGAACGCGCAGCAAAGGCAGGTGCGTATTGATTTCGCCGGAGAATTCAAATCTCGACGTGGGTCATTTTGGCGATCGGTTCATTTCGCCGATGAGTGCATGGTGTGCGACGAGCCTTGTAAGGCTCACAGAAAAGTAATTTGTCGTGAGAATTTCTCAAGAGAACCTATTCCACTAAATGAAAGAGTGTCTCACCCGTCGAGATTACTCATCTGGGTAGGGATAAAACATGGTTAGCCTGTTCGTGGACATCAGTCAAAGGCACCATGAATGGTGGGAAATTTGCATCAAAAATTACGAAAAGGTTTCCAGAATTTCGTGAAAAAAATCGTCTAAAAAGTTATCGTTTTTCAGGATAACGCTCCATGTCATATTTCACGAGAGGTTAGTAAATTTATTTAGTTATGGGAATTGATTCACTTATTATTTGCTTCTAGACTTCAGAAAAGATGCGTGACTCTAATGTCCCGCTAAAAGCCCGGATCTCAACCTGATTAAAGATATGTTTTCTGTTTTGAAGAGAGGTCGGTGTGCTACCCGTACATTGGACATTGGAGGCAAAGGTGCGATACGTAATGGAGCACAAAATAGAAAATAACTTCATGACAAAGTTAGTGGGTTCGATGCCTCAAAGGACTCGAAAAAATCCTAAAGAACAGAAGCAGACCAATCGACTATTAGTGTACACAAATTTTGCATCTTAATTATTATTAATGTTGATTTGCTTTAAATAAAAACTGTTTCATTCTCTTAAGTTACCTCTTAACTCATCATGGTCTAGGTCAACCAATGCTGACGAAATGGGAGCATCTACTACATTCTGAATCATTCCATCTGCTGAGTATAAACGAATCAGAAAAATCACATCTATAAAGATTCACCAAGACTTGTTTATTATTGTTCGCGAAAAAACAATTTACTTCTGTATTAATACTGTTGCCTATACGAACCGATAAATGTTTCACAGGGACCCGTTGCCTCAGTTTCGATTAGACCTGTATATATAATGACAGTACCAGTAAATGATTACAACTTATTCAGCATAACGAACATGTCCGTCCAACTTGCGTTTCCTCTCGCAAAACCTGCGGTTGCTTGCTGTCAATTGCAACATGACGAAAAACAATGTCGAAAAGGGTAATGTTTATTTTTAATTATCTGTGCATGGCTTCATTATTTTACTATTGTATTTATTTAATCGTCTGTACATCTGAATTTACTCATGTTGCAGGATCCGTTTGCCGAAATCCGAAATGGCCTGCGAGCTGCGGCGCACCCAACTCCTTACTTTTTCAATGAAACAGTAAGCTTTATTTGTGATTTCGTTCAGTTGTCCGTTTACTTTGTAGTGTAGCTCAAGGTGTGAAGTACTTTAAAGAGGGCCGCAACAACGAGGCTCTTCAATGCTACAATTTCGCCATCGAAGTGGAACCCACCAATCCGGATGCGTATGTTGCTAGGGGAGCACTGTAAGTAATGCCAGTAACTTTTCAGCCTTGTACCTCAGCATTTGATTTTGCGTGGAACAGGAGATTCCTGTCTGTTTGTTTCCATTTTTTTGAATGCTACTACCTACATCATCCAATACTGTTTGCATCATTGATAGATCTTATTGAGTTTCTGGTGTTTTATCAAACGCTAATTTATAGAAACAAAGTTCTACCACGAGCATTTCACTCAGCATTTATATCTTGATTACAATGACAATGAGACCCGGTAATGCTGTATTTTAACTCACGTTGGTTTTAGCATGATCACAATTGTGTAATCATTATAAGGAGAAAACGCTATAATCACCGGAGCTTACTGCTCATTGGTTACCGAAGTCCCGGGACTTGGAACACATGAGGCAACAATAGGAAGGATCTAGTATTGACGCTAACGACAGCACAACTGCTTATCGTCGAAGTTGGATGGCATATGCATATACTTCGTATCGGTACTTCTGAGCGAAGTAAAACTTAAAAATCTCGCTTCCACAAAACTAAATCTGTTATTTACAATCGTCAAATTTAGTTTTATACATGGAAATTCATCTAGAGCGTCGTTCGGTCTGGGTTCCATCCACGATTGACTGATACAGCCGCCCTTTGGCGTGCAGTTCGATTGACTAATTTTTTCGTGATGTGCAGCCGTGAATTTTCCTTGGTTAATGTAGACCGCTTTTCCACATAACCACGCTAGAGAGCCTCCGAAGTTGTCCGCATTGCCACTAGGTGGACGCGAAGCGGTAAATATCTCGCCCGGTTAGCGGAGATAAGTCTGTCGTGTTTCATTGAGAGTAGACAGAACACAATCACCAGATATTCTGACGTTTCCAACAAACAGCTTTTACATGTAAAATCGAAACAAACCGTTTCTTTGGTGTCAAAATGATGATAATCCCTGAGCCAGGGCTAGGGGCGATTGCAGTTGCTGGATAGTGAAGATCGAATGCACAATTGGACTTTGCTGCAGTATTGATTGAGGGTGACTCGGAAAGGCGAGGGCGGATGCGTGTTGACGATAGCGATAATATAACGGAACAAACGCTCACCACGTACATAAATTCAGTGATGAAACACCAGACGGTGAGAGATTGGATTTAACTGGAGGGCGGAAAAAAGTAAATGTTTAGGGTCAGCATAATGCACAAGCTAACTTTAGATACATACCTTTTCAAGTATTCTGATCTGATAAGAGATGAAAATAAGAACGCCACTGCTGTCTGTCAGTTATCGTGTTCTTTAGTCTCCAATCCGCTATTTACAATCTTGGACAGCAACCTCGAAGATTGGAGACCTATTCTAAATAATCGCTCTGTGCGTTTCTTCACGCCTCGCTTCTATGTCGTCATCATCTACGTCATTTGTCGACCCCAACTTGGGTTCTTCCAACCTGGAGCCACAACTGCGAATGAAGCGCAGTGCGGTAGACGATGGCTGGGTATACGCAATAGGTGTTCTAACCAGCGAACAGGACTAATCTGAATTCTATATGACAACGAATTCTCCATCGAATCATTACCTCATCTCAGAGTTCCTTACACGCTTGCTCCATCCGACCCGCGCCAAACTAAGTAGAAGACTTCTAGACGATGAATACCTTCGCAACCATGGAGCAGAACTGGCCGCACACTGTCGCAGTATACACGACCTTTCGGTTTCAACAAAACAACACGTCTGCACCAAAGATGTTTCAGTCCTGCGTAAGCTGTATGTGCCTTGGAACTGCGTTACCGTGATTTGTCACGAAACTTCCGTAGCACGACGAGACTGCACCTTGACGTGGTGTGATGGCTTGTGCACCTCTCTGACCCAACGAGCTACTCGGATGGCTTTTTCAAGCTGAAGATCTAAACATGCCTGGAAGGCCGAAGGGTAGAGGTCGGATGAAGTCGTCTCCTGATCCTCCAAGTTCGGGATTTAACTAGAATTTTTATTTCAATCGGTAAAAAATGGGGTGGGCGTAATTAATCCAGGTAAATGGGCATCCACTTCGCTTTACCCGCTGCTTTGCGGCTAGGTTCTTATCAGAACTAAAGGCTTTGTTTGAGAACCCTAATCGTTCTCTTCTTTAGTAGCTGGACACCCTAGCAGTGCCCGTCCATTAAACTAATGCATATGCATTGCGAGTTAGATAGCGACCAGTGAGGTTCGCTTTTCTGTGTTTCGCCGTAAGATGATGATGAGCGAGAGGAACATTCCACTATTGCCAATTTTTGGTCATGAAGTACCAGCGTTGTAGATTCCGTTTGTGGCTATAGTAAGGGGAGGTGTGACGATAGCTAATCAGTCGGGATGACTTACTATGTTCTGTAATTGTTCACGCAAACACAGATATGCTTACTTTAGGCCTCAATCAGCGCTAATGACAAACAGAGTGCAGTTCGTCCGTCTAACGGTGGTTGTTCGTTTAAGTATTATTTATCTAGTCAAGTTGAGGTTCCTATGCACGGGTGCTTAGTGTAACTCTAAATTATCAGCTAAATCATCAGTTTCTGCAATCAAACCTACAGGGAGTAAAGCCAAACGTTCTCTCGTGAATATTGTCGATTTGTATTATATATTTATGTTTTCACACTTGTCTAAGGACAGACTATGTGCTAAGAAAATCATGGTACACTAATCTTTATAATAGGGGAAAAACGTTCCAGGATTGGCTTGTGGGCTGAGTACTGCCAGGTGGCCCAGGCCAAGGTAGGTGAATTTTCTTGGGGATTTAAACACCGGAGTCTCCTTCCAGCCGAAGCCTGACCCGCAAGGCAGCAGGGCGGTGTGTGAAAAGCGCAATCCATTGGGAGCCAATGTCCACTTCATCGGATCGTACGCCTTTCAGACGGGGTCAAACGTCCAAGGTGCCCAATACACCTAGATACCCAGTTGAGTCGGTGAGCACTGCCACAACCGAAAAGGTGTGTGGTTCGTACGCCTTCTCATGGTTGGTTAGGAATTAGGGTTTTTAGCCAACTCCCTTAAGTGAACTGCCAGTGGTCCACCAACCCGGTTATAGCCCCGAATGTCGGCTTTTCGTCCTCTCACTTTGGTGGAAAAACACCGCCACAAAGGGGCAGCGAGTAGGGCTTCCTCAGCAGAGGCTATTTGAGACGCTTGGTTGTATGAGAGCATTTCGCAAGGTGCAAGGGCAGGGTGACCAGCTGCAACCCTAGACACCCACCACCGACCATATTGAGGCTTTCGGAGGCGTTATCGATGCAAACCGAAGGCGTTTGTCAGTTCTATATTTTTTGTTCCATTGCCGCGTCAAGTTTTCTTTTCCATTTTACTTTTATTGAAAACTTTTGATTGTTCTGATAATATTCCCATTTTTAGATATGCATCTGTGGGAACATACACCAAGGCAGTGGACGATCTTGAGAAAAGCTTGGAACTGCAAGCCAATCACGTTAATGCGAAGAACTACTTGGGTCAGACACTGGTCGCATACGCCGGAGAGTAAGTACACCGCGTGTCGTCTTGAAATGATTTACAAGTGTTCTTTCTTGACCGTTATGTAATAACTATGTTGTTTCTACTCTGACGGTTTCCCCCAATCGCAGGATCAGCCGCAAAGATCCAGTTAAAGCGGAACAGCTATTACAACGCGCCATCAAACTTGACCCTGACAACATCGAGGCCCATGAGGCACTTCGAGAAATTCCAGCATCAGCTTTGGCTCCATCTGGCAATCGTGATACTAGTCTGGTAATTGCATTTTCTGACCCTTTTTCGAATGAATTCTATATTATTTTCCGTGGTATTCGTTTATTCTGTTTACTGCTACCCCCTCTCACTAACAGTCACTTGTTTTATTTTTATAAATCTGCGATCTGCTTATTTTCTTTCTACGTGCCTTTGCTAGAGGGTACTTCGGCCTCATGGACCAGTGATTCTCGGCATCAGATTATAACTGGTGTCTCCAGCACTATTCACTCTTATACGAGGTCGCATCTCTAAGCTCTACATATTCAAGGTTAATCTACCAGACAGGAATGTTGCGTCAAATCTAATAATGGTCATTAGTTTTGTTCATTGACCTCTTCTGGGAAACGTTGATGAGCGAAACAAGGGCGATGACCGGTTCAGAAGTGGGTCGCATTCTACTTACCATACCACAGTTGTCAGACTCGTTGACGGAACATAACCACAATCCCCTCACGCCCTGGGGCATTATGGATGCCCAGTGATGGTTGGGCTGCTCCTGCTAGCATAGTGTTCTGATTGACTCAGTTTCTTCTGTTTGCTTCCCTCTATAAATGCCTCGGAAGTATGCCTATTGGGTTAACCATATCCGCAAAATTCCCAAATGAACTAAACCGATTGTTAGAAATTACTCGGTGTCCCGTTCCGCCATTTCGCTCTAGTCAGGGCAAAACGGAATGNGTTCTACTCTGGTAGTAGACGCATGCTCGGACAGTGTCTGGTAGATTAACAACCTAGCTTGCTTTCGGTATACCCTTGGTGCCCTTGAAGTATCGAGCTATGGCACAAAACCGAGAACGTTCCACCTTAGCTCGATCCTTGATCAGAAAGTGACAATGGTTCAGTCCCCGACATAAGCATTTGTTTAACAAATGACATGAGATGACGGGTGTGAGGTTGAACCGAAATTTAGTGGCATCGATACTGACAGACATTGTGTTACGTGTTAAAGTGCAATCAGCTCTGCCTTATGACTGCAAGTCCTTTCTGTTCGATGGTTTGTCTGGTGATGTTGGCGCAGTGGGTGGCAGGTGGAATCAAGCGCGTTTATCTACTTCCAGCTATCATTGAGGTTCACTTTTGTTGTTTCCAATGCGTTGATGGAAGTACGAGAAACAGAAATGTAAGACGTACTGACCATTTGTTTTCAAATACAGTTGTTCCATTGAATATATTTTTATTTAACGATTAAAGTGAGATTCAATAAATACATAAACACGACTGACCGCCTTGACCACATGATTGTTTCTTGAATTTTAGCGCTCGTGGTCACGTTCTCCGTCACCTCGAACTGGTTCTCGAGCCCCTGTTGGTCGACGTGAAAAATCTCCATTATCACCAGTGCAAAGTTCGAGAGGATCTGGCGCTCGTACTGGCGCCTATGCAACACATATGGAGCGAAGTCGTGCTGCTTTGGAGCAACTGGTAGAAGAAGACAGGTCGAAGCGTGCCGCCAAAGAGGCTGGTCGACGTGGTCCATCAGGGGACCAAAGCCCATCGGGTTTTTATTCCCCGGGTAAGCATAAATAACGTTCCAGTTTCGCATTTCCCGGTTACCATTTCATTACGATTAGTCGAACACAATCGACAAGATTCTATTCTGATTCGGTATATGCGGTCATCGTTTCACTTCACTGATGTTCAACG